TCTTAAGCAATAGACAGGAACACATTAAAGCAAAAGGCTTTATATTCAAAAAGTGCATTTATTATATTTCTCAATTAAGACTTTGACATTTACTTGTCATCAGCTGAAAAGAGCTACACGATAAAGCGTTAAGAAAGATCCACAATTATGATATGAGCATAACTCTTAAAACAGCTGAAGTATCTCAAAGATCTTATCTGGAAAAGTGCACCGTCAACAGTTGTTTTAATTTTAAAATTAATTGCTTGAATTTGCCTATTCATTGCGGTCAGGTACTAGAAAAGGCGAGAAAGAACTGGGTTATCTTACCTCAAGCATCTGCAACTATAAGAAAACTATTTCTTTAAGTGTATCTAAATTTTAACCGTGAGCTATCAACGCTTTGATCGACCCTCGACATATGCTGACTGTCTTCAGGCTGTGTGGCAGCTGCCGTTTAACTTCCGCCTACAAGCCTCTCACACACACATACACGCACACACACAGAGACAAACATTGGAACTGCGTCAGTTTTGATTGAAAGATTGACGGCAATTTTTGCATAGTTTGACGATAAGTTTACCAGTTCGATTTGACCCCACCAGAAGCGGCAGCTGCAAATGTGGCTCATGTGCAGCGTGTTGAGAACTTTAAGAGTTGTTGAGCGCGTCTGTGGGACAAACACACAAACACACACACACACACACACACAGACACAGATGCACACTCAATCGAGCCTGAAAACAGCTTATGACAGGTTGCCTTATTATAACTGTCAGGGTTGTCAGGTTATTAGAAACCTTTTATGCCCGCACTCCGCCGAGAGCGTAGGTGCCCAATATCTTCATTAGGCTGCCGCGCGGGCCGTAAGCCATGAAATGTGCGCTTGTTCTCCTGCATGACTTTAAGCGCTTTTCTATTTGTTTTTCTTTCACTTTTTTTTTCGTTTATTCTTTCTCTATTTTGTGTTTTTTAAGGCCTCTGACAGGGCGACAGCTCAGGTGTAAAATAGTTTGCCACGTCAGTTGGCAGCGGCGTATTTTGTTTTTGGTTTTTTTGTCTATTTTCTATTTTCTATTTTCTTTGAGTTTTTTAGTTTCCCCGTTTGCCTTTGCTTTTGTTTTGTTTTGTTTTTTTTTGCCGCACTCCTATTGATTTTCCAACACTTTTCGCCTGGCGCATTTCTTCATAAATGTCAGAAAACCACTTTGATGTCTTGACTTTAAGGCTGCCTACACCCACACACACACACACCCGCACACACACATGCACATAGATGGACAGATATGAGCTCTTAGGAATTGTATTCCCTTTTTCCATATTCCGTTTTTGTTCTGGTCACATGTGCCACTTTGATGTGGTTCTGGTTGCGGCAGATTGTGTCGAGTCACGGCTTTTAATCCCCAGGCCAGGGTTCTTTCATTTTTTTGGATTCATTGTAGGTGTTGCCGACTGTATCTTGGGATTTGGGCATTTTTACAAATCACTTCGTCTAATTGTTTTGGGCAGCAAAAACAAAATGCAGCAATCAGACATTGCAAGAATCCCTGAACCGAAGGTCAGCCACGGCTGTCATGCCAAGGTCTTTTGCCCCCGCAACTTTTGCAATGCGTTTGCTATTTTCAACTCCGTCCAATTCAATGGCAGCTCATCAGACGGTCCACAGACAGTTGCCAAAATGAAAAAAAAAAAGTTAAAACAAATTATCTGCTAAGACACTGAGCAAAGAACTAATTTCAAATTCAAAACTCGTGTTATTTTTACAACAAGACTTAAAAGTTTGAGCCGACGAATATTTGCTGCGAATGAGGTACTTGTAGAAAGATATCGATGGGAATGTTGAGAGAATTTTGACTTTACAAAATATTTTAACTTTAATTGTTAATAAATACACAAGTTCTTACGACAAAATTCGCAAAACAAATTAAAGAAGTGTATACAAATTATATAAAAATAATATATTATAAATTTACTTTCAGCATTTGCAGCCTATTATTTAATCTAATTGTAATAAGGGTGATTAAAATTTATAGAATATCATTAGAAAAACTTTTACTCATTATATAAAAATAATATATTATAAATTTACTTTCAGCATTTACAGCCTATTATTTAATCTAATTGTAATAAGGGTGATTAAAATTTATAGAATAACATTAGAAAAACTTTTACTCATTTATTCAAGGGCATTTGACATATGATAATATTATGTTATCACACAGAGATCGTGCTCGCAAATCATCCAAAGTTTTCCCATTGAACAGTTGAACAAACATAATTGGAGCAGCGATAAGCGAGGCGAAGCGCAGAAGAAGTTCAAGCTGCGGCAATTGCCAAGAATAGCAACTGTCAGCACTCACACGCCCCCCCGTTGATGATGCCTCCCCTCTGCCAGCAACGTATCCAATATGATTTCATTATATTTAAACTTTTCATTGATAATATTTCGTTCTCGTTGTTATGTCAACAAATTGATATGCACTTTCTTGAGCTTATTTTTTATGATTTTGTTTTTTGTTTTTGTTTTTGTTTTTGAGTTTTTGTTTGCATTGAAAACAATTGGAAATATTTTGTGTTTGTCTTGGAATTTCGAGCTGGTAAGCTGTTGGCGCTGCAACTTTTGACAGCTTTTGATTGAATGTTTGGCAACGTCGTCGTCGCCCCGAAGGGGATTACCCGAATGTGTGCTACGTTCACTTATCTATTGTCAAACGGGTAGGGCACTCAGACACCCAGCTGGCCCTAATTGCTCGCATAGGTCTGCGACATAGACAGAGCGAGAGCGAGAGCGAGAGCCAGCGGAGCAGGTGTAAAGAGTTACTCAATATTCAGTGAGGAGGTGTTTGTTTCAGTGCATAAATTATTTGTGTGTGCTTGAAGATTTCTTAGAATACTGCGTAGAACTGCGATTTCAACAGCTGACGGCATTTTCGGGGAGTACTTTAACAAAAGAGAAACTAGACTGTGAAGAAAACTAGTTTTTCTACATTAAGATACAATTGATTGAAAGCAAAAACTAAATTTTTGGCCAGTTGATCTATTCTTTCTATAGAAAACAATAGATACAATTTCAAATATATGTACTAAATATTTAAATCCTTTAATAATGTATTGTTGCTATTCAATATTTGTTATTATATATAATCAGTATAAAATAAAATAAATAAATAATATTTATTCTAGTTTTTCTATTATATTTTTAATTTAATGTAATAACTAATAAATATAAAACAAAGGTATTTGGCCTCAACTCATATATACTACTATATAATATTTATTGTGTTTATTCTCTATTCTTTCTATAAAAAAAAAACAGTTTCAAACATTTGTATTATATAATATTTTTCATTTAATATAATCAGTATAAAATATAAAAGAAAAGTATTTGGCTTCAACTTATAAACAAAACGAACAAATATTTAATTAAATAAATATATAAAAGTTAATAAGCAACCTCACTATTAGCTGCAACAATAGATAAAATACTGATAAAAGTTATTAAAAGATATAAACAAAATGAATACTTAAAAAAACTTAATGGTTTAAAAAAAAGTCAAAAAAATATAAAAAAAAGAGGCGTAGACTTTGAAATGGTTTGATTTTAATAATATAAATTCAGAAATAAATTTATTTATATTTAATAACAATTGCCCAAAAATGCGAAAATATGTTTTAATTTAATGCTAAGCCCGGAAGCAGAACAGACGACCTCCGTCCACAACCACAAACGAAGAAGTCTCATCAACAGGCAGCTGGCCATATGTTATGAGCACACGCTCTTATCAAATGCTCTCTTAACGCGAACCAGTTGCCAGTCATGTGCCATGTGCCACAACGTTCCGTCTTATACGCAACGTTTTGGCATTTGAAACAGAGCAGCATAACAAGAGCGCAAAGAGCGCAGCGTGTGCGAGCTACTTTAAGAGAGCACAAACGCACTATAAGCTCTTCGCTGGGGGCACACTCAATTTGAAGTAAATACAATGTAACGTTAAGTTGTTTGTTTTTTGTGTGGGGGCGGGCAAATGTAATCAATAATATTAAATATTTAATATGCCAGGTAAGAAAATTGTGTAAAATGTGTGCAGAAAAATATGTGATGGGCTGTAGATGCTTAAAATATTTAAATGGATTTTATGATAATAAATTAATAATTTTAAAAAATGCATTTTGCATAATTATAACAAAAGGCAGAATTACCTGTGCAGCTGGCACTGGCACCTGCACTGCTCTGCCCCAGTTGGCATCCAACTAGGGAATGCGTTCCACATGCAACAACTTTGTTGCGCTCTTCGGCGGCTCTCTACAGCCTTCGTTGAGTTGCGCGCTGGTCCAAGCGGCACACACAGGTGCACGCGCTAGCGACTGCCTCGCTCTTTTTTTGGCTCGCACCTACACACACACACATAGACACACACGCACCCACACACAAATGTGAGTGTTACATGACATGCTCTTCTTTGGCTCCTCACACGCTCTCTTTCCTGCTCTTTCGCGGGCGCTCTGCTTTGGCAGCAGGAAACGTCGCAAGGAAATGGCAAAATGTTCAACGTCCATTCCCATTCGCATGTGTGCGAGCAACTGTTACTATATGGGTGTGCGTGTGCGTGTGTGTGTGCCTGTGGATAACATTGCGGCGCTCGTTGGGGCAGCGCCAGTTGTCGGCTAACGGTAGTCGTTGCGAAACTTTTGCTGGAGTAACGTGTCGCGCAATTGAAATTGGCGGCGTTTTCATCGTCCAGCGCCAGCGTCGTCTCCAATTCACGTACTCGCGAGTTTTTAAACGTGTTCGGTTGAGTGTCAGCGTGTGCGTCTGTGTGTGTGTGTGTGTGTGTGTGTGTGGGGGCTGCCAATTAGTGTGTTACATTTGTGCAACAGTCTCGTGTGCGTGTGCGCGTGTGCGTGCGTTCGTGTCCGTGTGTGTGTGCCCCATGCTGCACGTGTGTGCGTGGGGCGCCGCCGTCGCGAGAGCAACAAAAATGTATTAAAAAGTTTATGAAAAATACAAATGTTGAAGAGCTTAACTACTCCTAAAAAAAACATATATATATATATACATATAGTATACAGACTTTATACCGATATCTGCACATACATATATATTTAAATGAAGCCCCAATCGAGGAACCTTTCCTAGGTAAGCTTAACCCGAAAATACAAACTTGTAACGCGCTTTTAATTCACTTTGCCTGCCAGCCACATCCAACGTCTTCCTCTTATTTTGGGGGAGTCCCCAAGTTTTTGGAATTTTTTCGTATGTATTTTCTTCTTCTTTTTGTTTATTTATCCGCTCTGGCAGCCCCGAAAACTTTATCTAAATTCAATTTCGACCGGGCCGCTGAAATTGCCACCCAGAGAAATGAACCCGCAACCCACAACGCACGTTTATAGTCATTTAACTGAATTAGATAAGTTAAACGATGTCTAATGTCAATTTGATTATGTGAGAATAAAACTCGTGGGTGAGAGCGACTGTTCCCTTTTCAATTGAATTGATGTAAAGTGTAGCAAAAATTCGGATTAAATCTAAAATTAAATTGCGACAAATTTGAACTTAGCTCGGAGTCAGTTATTTAAGAGTTTCTGGTATAGTTTAAGACATTCTTAAAAAGCCAACTTTTAATCGATGTTTTAGTTTGCCTTCGCTCGTTCTCTTCTTACTATATCTATTGTGAGTAAAAGTCCTTTCCCTTCAAACTTAAACCGATTGCGAATTTTAAGCATTTCCGCGATTTGAGAGAAATAAATATCAAAGCTTTTTGGTAATCAGATGAACTATGTTTGGGGAATGGATACGTTTATTTTTGATTCCGAGATTTATGTTATTTTTGTTATTAGTGCTGGAAAACGGTCCATGATTTCCAATAATAATTTATACATTTTGATTTAAATGCTTCGATAAGTTCAGACTGGCTAAGATAGTTCGCAGACACTTTCATATAAGTAGATCTTTAAGTTTTGTGTTCATTGAGTTCAAAAATTAAGTTTAGAAGTTGAAAGTATTTTAAGCTATCGATAATATTAAATGGGTGTATATTATAGTTTTGTATAATTTATACTTATAGAGCACTTATATTTATATTTTAGAGAAGAGTTAATTTTCTATATTGCACTTTAATATATGAAATATAAATAAAAATTTGAATTGGACGATATTTGATATTTAATATATATTTATACTTTATGTAAGAGTATAGTTTCTATATTTTATCTAAGTATAATATCTAAAATAAAAAACTTTAAATATTACTATTAATATTTGAATTTGTATAATAAGCGTTACATATAATTTATACCAATATTATGCTAAAAATATTTATAGCGGTTGTTTATAAAATAAGAAAAAAGTGGACATACAATAAGAAAAATTAATTAGCACTAGCACGCTGACAATCAAAGGGAAGATCATTCAATTTGAGCTTTTAAAGTTATGGGCTGTAGCTAATCCGAATACCTCAAAACCTAATGAGCTCTATTCAGTAGCCATGGCTGAGTCTAGCCTTCGGATCATGCTAATTGATGGTTTAAAAACTTTGACAAATATGAGAAGACAAAATCGAATGAATAGCAAATTGAAAGAAAAAAAACTAGCTAGCTGTAAAATTTACAGTCCACAACTGTTGACCCAAGCAAATTAGCGTGAAAATTTCTACGAAAACGAAAAAGAAGTTGGCTATGAATATTAAAGGCCAAGTTGTGGCAAATACCAGATATACATAGTTAAGCGGGTTGCGTGGGAAAAAAAACAAGAGGAAAAAATGTGGCAAGGTCAGCAGCAGACGGCGACGGCGACGGCGACACGCCCAAAACTCACGTGAAGCGAAGCAAATGCAGTTGGTTTTAATTAAAAAGAGCAAAAGTGACTTTCGAAATGGCCAAGAGATAAAACTGCAATAACTATAAAGAGCAGTTTAAAATGGAATTGACGATCGACGGTTGGCCCGGGAGGTTGGCCCGAAATGGGCTGGCTCTAGGGTTGGGGACGCACACGCGTCAATTTGTTAAGCGGGTCACGTACTAGACAACCCCATTGGCCAACCCAAGTGCCACACAGGCCTCTTCCGTTCGCCGTCTGTCTGTGTGTGTCTGTGTATGTGTGTGTGTGAGTGTGCTGTCATCAACACGAAAATAAAAATCGAGAATTAAACTCGCTGAAAATGGCAACAGCTCTTGTTGCCCCAATCCCGTTGCCCCGCCTCTCCGCAAATCGATTTCAATAAAGTTGAATTTTTTATGTCGCTCGCCTGCTTTATGGACGAAGACTTTAAAGGCCGTGTCCACGCGTAAATGACGCAACAAATTAAATGTCAATAATTTAAAATAATTACCGAAAAAGTAAATAAGAGAAAAATGCTTAGCAACAAATCCCAAGGCCAAATGATTTTAAACCCAATTTTTATGGCTTTTTAATCTAATTAAATTGCCATAAAAAGCGAGTCTCACAACAAAAACTGCTGTGAGAATTAAATAAATAAAAGTAAACCTATGCACTTTAAAGTCGGCCATAAACAATTTGATAGGACAACAAAACGCACATACAGACTACAAAGTTGTCAACGGTCAAGACGAAGGGGTTGGCGGAGGGTAGGGGAGCTGTTACTGCGACTGCGACTGCGACTGCACTTTGTTATTGTCAAATGGGTTAATGAGTGCGTGCGTCTGACGTGAAAGGGTTGCCCTGAGAGCCGGGGCCCGGAATCGGGGGTGCGGCTAAACGGGATCGCAGCACTAATGACCTGCATTTTGCATGCGAGCAGCGAGCCGTTTAAATGGGAGTGCATATGTGATATCATCAAAGGGTTGCAGCGCATGTGGGTTGAGAAAGCAGCCAGCAAAATAAACGCATCTAATGCACATGCATAAAGGCTTGGGCATGCTCCATTTATGATATACAAATTCAACAGAAATCTCGGAGGTCAGAGTTCAATTAAACAAATCTGCAATTATTCCAATAAAAATCATCCATATAAAACAGAATATATAATTCTTTTTGCAATCTCATACAAATTGTTGTCTTTAATGTGAATCTGAAGATAGTTTCGCCTATCACTTCAAGTTATTTCCCCAACCAGAATTTATAGTTTCTTAAAGTAGTTTACATACTTAAGTTTATATGGTGGCCAGTAAATTTTTAAGAGCTCTTCGCCTACAATTTTATTGCCATTACACGCGCCTCGGTGTGTGGCGCTGGCGGTTGTATCACCACATTTCCGTGCTCATCCTTGTAATTCGCATATGCCTCGGACAGCACACATTCCATTCCTAGGGCGGCCATCACACGTGCCGAGTAGAGACTAGTGCAGGTGGCCACCAGCAGGGGCAGTCCCTTGGCGCGACCCACTTCCATCAGCGCGGTAACCAGACGGCGTCCCAGTCCTTGACGACGCACTGAGCCATCCACTGCCAGGATGCTCAGATAAAGGGTATCTAATGCGCCGTAATGCTCAAACAAGCGCGCTCTTCGCTCAATGTCGGACAGAAAGTAATGAGTATGTTCAATTAGACTCTTCGGCTTCTGCTCATTGACTTCAAGCCAATTCTGCTCCAGATCGCCGGGCTGCAATACACCAGCAAAAGCCACGCTCACAAAGCGATCACCCTCTAGGGCGACTAGGGAAGTGCCCTGCCGTATGAGCGACAGGCGATACTCCCTTCGCTTCGGATCGTCAAAGATCACCTGGTGATCTCCGGGCGTTTGCATGAGCGGCTCATGCCCGTAGAAATGGTCACGCAAAAAGAGTGTTGCCTCTTCAATATCATCCTCTCTCATGGCGCGCAGCTCGATAGTCATCATGTTGCAAACTGGTCAGTAACTAACTGAAGAAACATGCTGAACAGCAGTTGAGCTTTTCGAGTGGGCTTATCGCCAAAAAGCTGACGATGCGATAATGTCACATATATATATACTACATATATGTATTCACGAATTGACAAACTCAGGCGATAAAGAAATTTAACTGATAAGGTTACAAATAGTATTTACATCAGTCACGTTTTCAAAAATTTGTGAAATAAAATTAAAAATAAATAGTCTCAAAGAAAAGCTAAAATTAAAATTTAATTATATTTGCTATTACTAGAAAAATGTCTTATAAAGACCCGGATTATATGAGGGCATTTCCTGCAACTTAATGGCCATGACGCTCGCCTCTGTGTGTGGCGCGGGCGGCTGAATCACCACGTTGCCATCCTCATCCTTGAAGTCCGCATAGAGTTCCGAGTGCACGCACTCCATGCCCAGCGAGGCCATCAGACGCGTCGAGTAGGCACCAGTGCAGGTGGCCACCATCAGTGGAATTCCCCTGGTGCGGCCCAGCTCCATTAGGGTAACAACCAGACGGCGTGCGAGTCCCTGACGACGCATCGTCGAGTCCACGGCCAGAGTTTTCAGATATAGAGCATCCGTAACGTCGTAGTGCTCAAAGAACTGAGCGTGTTTCTTGATGTTGCACAGAAAATAATGTATGTGTTCGATTAGCAGCTTGGGCTTGCGCTCGTTGACCTCGCTCCAGTTCAGCTCCAGGTCGCTGGGATGCATTATACCGGCAAATGCCACGCCCACAATGCGACCGCCCTTGCTCTGGTCAACTGCAACCAACGAGGTGCCCTGCTGTATGAGCGAGAGGCGATACTTCCGCTTCTGGGGATCGTCGTAGATCAACGGATGTTCGCCGGGCGTCTGCATTAGGGGCTCATGGCCGTAAAAATGATCACGTATGAAGAGGCTGGCCTCATCGATATCTTCCAATTTCATTTCCCGCACGATCGTCGTCATGTCGCTAGCTCCGGGGACTAACTCAATGCAGTTGTAGGGTGACTTTACGGTTTTATGCGTATTTCGTAGGTGGCCCATTCAAGTGGGCTTATCGCGAAAATTCAATTAGTTGAACTTGAACTTAAGTTCACAAACTCTCAGACCTGAGCATTATCATGTGATTGCATCACGGCTTTGACAAGATAACGCACTGAACTGATAAGACAACACGATAGAAAATACTTCATGAGAGTACTAGACTAGAATTTACCCTGTAACTATGTGCTAAATGTATCTCAAGACTAAAATATAGGTTTTTTAATTTGTAAAGAATAATTTATAGGCTGCGATTGAAACTCATATGGAATATTGTATGATGTTTATTAATATCATATAGTTTGAGTATTTTTTCATTAGAATTCCTACAATTTTAATGCCATAACGCTCGCCTTTGTATGTGGTGCTTGCGGCTTGAACACCACATTACCATCATCATCTTTATAGTCGCAGTAGAGTTCGGAGTGTACACACTCCATGCCCAGAGAGGCCATGAGTTGCGTCGAGTAGAGGCCGGTGCAGGTTGCCACCAGCAGGGAATACCCCTTGGCTCGGCCCACTTCTATTAATGCAGTTACCAGGCGACGGCCCACGCCCTGACGACGGACTGCAGAATCCACGGCCAGAACTTTCAAATAGAGCACATCCGAAACTCCGTATTGCTTGAAAAACTGAGCGTTTCTCTTAATGTTGATCAGATAGTATTTCACATGTTCCATGAATTGCGTACGTTTCTTCCCATTCAATTCGTTCCAATTCTGTTCCAATTCTTTCCCATTCAGTACTCCAGTATATGCCACGCCCACAATTCGATCATCTTTACTCTGATCAACGGCAACCAACGAAGTGCCCTGTTGTATACACGATTCCTTATACGCTCTTTTATTAACATCAAGAATTAGATGTTGTTTTTCGGCATATGTCTCCAAGAGCGGTTCACCAGTGTAGAAATGTTCGTGTAGAAACCGGCTGGCCTCCTCAATATCAGCCGCTTTCATTTCCCGCACGATCGTCGACATCTCGCAAGTCTCAGAGCTTTACTGAAGGCAGCCGGAGAGCTTTGGATGGTTTTGTATCTTATCAAGTGTGAGCACTGCGGAACGGATGAGCTTCAAATAACTTGAACTTCAGCAACCCAAGAGCCAATTGCATGGAATGGCATTTGTATCCGGGTTGTGTGACTAACTGATTGACTGACTGACTGACTGACTAACTGACTGAGTGACTGACTGACTGACTGATTGAGTGACTGACTGACTGACTGACTGACTGATTGACTGACTGACTGACTGATTGAGTGACTGACTGACTGATTGACTGACTGACTGACTGACTGACTGACTGACTGACTGATTGATTGACTGACTGACTGACTGACTGACTAACTGACTAACTGACTAACTGACTAACTGACTGATTGATTGACTGACTAACTGACTGATTGATTGACTGACTGACTGACTGACTAACTGACTGACTGACTGACTGACTGACTGACTGACTGACTGACTGACTGACTGACTAACTGACTGCTTGATTGATTGCTTTACAAGGCACAGGCCTAAGCTGTCAAAGTATCGGCTTCTCTATCGATAGTATGGATGTTTTTGAGTAAAGAATTTTTCATAGATTAAGGCAGACACAGTTTTAATTTTGTATATCAGCAGCTTCTAGGTAGCTGAATTTTTCACAGTTTTTTTCCCATTTCAAACAACATATTGGCGATGTCTTCCAAGTAAACCCGCGTAATACTTGCCAGTATTTCTATACAATTCCACACATGGAATCATCTTTATTGTGCAAAGCTTTTTTGTTCTATATTATACAAGTTTATCAATTTCTTTTCATTTAGTAGTCCATTGCATTATGTTTTGAGCTCAGTTACACGACAAGCGTCAAGCGACGTTGTCATCGCTGCGTTTTCACTTTTTTACACTCTGCCTTAATTGTGTTTGTAATCCAATACAATGTGTTGGGCCATTAGGTATCTTAAAGATACAAATACGCTGACATTGACTTTGCTTCTATGGGGAACAATTACGACTTGGTCATAAAATGAGCTTGCACATTTGAAGCGGACGGTTTGAAAGCAACTGGGCTTAGTTCATCCAGAAAGTGTAATTAAAGTGTTAGTCATAAGATATTAAATTACCAGAAATTGCGTGGTTGAAAATTAAATGATAAAAAAGTCGGAATTGTGTAAAATATATATATTTAAAATATTTTGAATTAAACGTCTTTTGCTTATCTTCCGCCCGTGGCGGTGAGTTGTATGGATTCATTTTTAGGCTGAGAGTGGAAGTTTTAGACAACTGGACAAAAATTAAACTTTTGCTTATGCACCTCATTCACCTTCATTCAGTGCATCACAATAGAAATATCCTTGATTATTGAATTATTTTGATTAATTTGTACTATATATTAATTGGCTTGTGCTCTGCAATTAAACAGTCAACAAATTAAACACAGTGTTAATCTTGTTTTTACGTTTTCTGCCATTGAGTTCTCAGAAAAGCTGGCCTATCTTCTATCGAAAAATAGTCAAAGCAACAAATTGCCATGTTATTGAATAGATACAGCAACTGGTGGAAAAATTTATTTACAACTAGATAACAAATATTTTTTGCCTAATTTATTATCACTAAATGGTGCAAATATACTAGCTGCTTAGAGTTTGATGACCATAACACGTAAATGTGTGTGAGGTGCAGCTGGTTTGAACACAACTTGGCCACTGGCGTCCTTGTAATCTGCATAGGCTATCGAATATACGCACTCCATGCCCAAGGCTTCCTTCTGACGTGCCGAGTAGTAGCTGGAGCAGTAGGCTACCATGATGGGAAAGCCTTTGCTGCGACCAACTTCCATCAGAGCGGCAGCCAGACGTGAGCCCAGCCCCTTGCCACGCATTGAGGCATCCACATTGGTTATGTGGGAGTAGAGGATTTTGGAAACTCCGTAACGCTCGAAGAGATTGATTTCGATTTCGATTTTGGACAAGAAGACGGCAATGCGTCCCCAGGTATTTGGCTCCATAGCAGCGGCCTCCTTGCGATGCTTCTCCAAATCGCTGGGAAACTGAGCACCCGCCAGGACCAAGCCCACAATGCGTCCGCCATTGTTTTCATCCACAGCCAACAGGCAGGTGCCCTGCTCTATCATGGATATATGATACTCATCGTTCTCCTTCTCATAGCATTTCTGCACATCCTCTCCAGAAGACGCACAGAGCGGCTCTCCATTATAGAAATTACCCCCCATAAATATCTTCACTGGCTGGTAGTCCGCCACCGTCATGATGCGGATGAGGATGCCATCCTTTGAGTCCAGTTCCGTTGGCATGTTGTTTTTTCCGTATTCACTGTAGAACTGCAACACTTTCGGCCCAGCGTATCTATTTATATTAGATTTCTTATCGTTTAACTGTAGTATGCATGATAGGGTGCAAAAATAAAGTATACTATATAGTATGGCAATCGCCTTGTTTACGCTCTCTCTTTCGCACTTATCAGCCCCAAACAATATCGACACTTGAATTGACGTACACTTTAATATAACTCGAGTATCAACAAGTAAGAGGTTCAAGTCGGGAGCTCCCGACTAGGGGATACCCTGCTTAAATAGATATATTTAAAAAAATTAAAAATTAAACTAAAGATAAATTAAAAAAAAAAGTTTCCTTGGCAGGCTTCGAACTCGCAACTGTCCGCATTACTTGCTGCAGCCTCTACTCAACATCCACACCAATCATTGAGTCTTAATGAATAACAAGGAATTAAAATAGCAGCACAGAAAACAATGCAATCGCAATTGCAATGCTGTTTATAGAATTCAAGAAAGACGCGCATGAATGTGTGTGTACATGCATACAGAAATTTTTGGAATTTGCGCTTGCTGCCGCTGATACAAGGAATGCCAAATACGTTTTCTTTAATAATTTCTGTGTTTCTTAACCGATCTTGATGACATTTTCAACAGTACGTCTTTTTATGTTCTAGAATGTTTGTGTATTCTCAAAAAGTCAAATGTATTTAAATTGTGGCTTAAATTGGTGGGCAGCTTAAATTGGTTTATTTACTTGATTTATAGCTATGAGGTAGTCGCGGGGAGGTGGTGATAGCTATAAAATTAAAGAAACTTAATATATATATATTTTTCTAGAAGCTATTATTTAAAGGTTCCTTGCGTTCATACATACGGACGGACGGACGGACAGACGGACAGACGGACAGACAGACGGACATGGCTAGATCGACCCGGCTGTTGATGCTGACCAAGGATATATATACTTTATGGGGTCGAAGATGCAGCCTTCTGCCTGTTACATACATTTGCACAAATACATTATACCCTTTTTACCCATTTTCAATGGGTTCAGGGTATAAAATGTGTACAGCTCATCAATGGATTTCTAATTAATTTCAGTTGGAAACACTTTGAAACTATTTTCCTACATTTTATTTTTATTATTTCATTTATATTGACAACCAATTGTTGATGTCTTACAAGGTTTACGCGTCATCCTATTTAAATAAAATTTTACTTTATTTGAGCCTAATTATAACTGTTGTGATTATTATATGATTGTCTTATCTTGCGTATATGGCTTTACACCCGCATTTTATTATTGTTAGCTTTTTTATATGTTAGTCAGCTGGTTCGTTAACTCCTATATGATTCAATTTTATAATGTAATACTTTGTATGATCCGCAATGAAATAAAAAGGAAAGTACGAGATACCCCTTGCTAGGAAAGCTAGTAAGTACTTATGAATGAATTATTATTTATGGAAATAAAGTTTACCAAAAACGAACTAGTTTTTTTTAAAGATTCTTCGAATGGAATTAAAACTTTCCATAGCACCTACATAATATTGTATTAGAATCAGCAGATTACGGCATGATTTTTTTTTATGAACAGTTTATGATGTAGGAAATGTCCTCCTCCTAACAAAAAATTCATGATTTATTGTCGGAGTATTTTGGCAATTTTATGAGAGGTATGCAAAACAAGGCCATATAAGTGCTAATTATATCTAAGGGTATGATAACTATCTAATCATAACATAAAATAGTCTTAGCTAAAGAGACAAGTGCCGAAAAATAAAGAGTCTACTCATTGTTTCTGATCTCTTAAGCACTCACATAGTTCATAGAAAATTCTGTCTGGCTAGAAGCCACTTCTCTCTTTAAACGAATGTCTGCGTATCAGACCCCATGTGGATATATGCTCTTGATCATGCCCGTGTATTTGTATAAAAAAGCTGAAGACAACAAATCTGAAAATATGTCAAACTACACCATTCGCAATCTGAGCTAATAACATCTTCCGATATCTTTTTCTATATTCCTAATATCGATAAATATCGATTACGATAACACGGTTTTTTTTTCTATAATATACAAAACTTTTTGTATATGTTCACATATATAAGATAACGATTCATATTCTCTCCATAATTTAAAAAAAAAACGCCATGGCATAAACACACTTTTCTATGCAATTCTTAACCCCGAATATTTTTTAGGGATCGGACTGTAAGCACCAAATTAAATAGAAATAACTGGACAGATACATTTGCAAGTAAATATCAAATATTGCTTCATTTACATAATAACAACAGCACAATTTATAGTTTGATGACCATAAGACGTAAATGTGTGTGGGGTGCAACTGGTTTGAACACAACTTGGCCACTAGCGTCCTTGTAATCGGCATAGGCTATCGAGTATACGCATTCCATGCCCAAGGCTGCCATCTGGCGGGCCGAGTAGAAGCTAGTGCAGTGTGCTGCAATGAGGGAAAATCCCTTGCTGCGACCAACTTCCATCAGAGCGGCAGCCAAACGTGAGCCCAGCCCTTTGCCACGCATTGAGGCAACCACATGGGTTATATAGGAGTAGAGCAGCTCGGAAATTCCATAACGTTTGAAGAGATTGACTTCGGTATCGATTTTGGACAGAAACACAAGTATATCGTCCCATGTATTTGGCTCACTGGCAGCGGCCCTCTTACGCTCCTTTTCCTCATCGTCAGGGGTCCGAGCATGTGCCAGTACGTAGCCCACAATGCGTCCGCCGTTGTTCTCATCTACAGCCAACAAGCAGGTGCCCTGCTTAATTTTAGAAAGGTAAAACTCATCGTGGTATTCTTTGACCCATTCTTCTTCGTAAAGCTCACCGAGCGGCTCTCCTTTAAAGAAATTGCCCCTCATGAGGGTCTTCAGTGGCTGGTAGTCGGCCACCGTCATGATGCGGATGAGGATGCCATCCTTTGAGTCCAGTTCCGTTGGCATGTTGGGCTTTTGGTGATCACTTTAGAAATGCAAAAGCTTTCGGCCACCAGTGTTATTTATGTGATGTATGATCCGTCTGTTTTCTTATCATTATATATAGTATGCCTGATAGTGTGTATATGCTTATAGAGCAGATGGTGATGGTTTGATAGCTAGTTTTGATCGCAACGGCTGATAAGCTGCATGTCAAACCATATCATATAATAAAACATAAAGCTCTTGAAAACTCAACTCATGCTCTGCAAATTTAGCCTGGTAGGAAACAAGTAGAAACTGGTAGAAACAAGTGCCCGTGCCCTCTTTGAGCGCGTCAATCTCGGAAACTAAAGAAGCTGAAGACAACAAATCTGAAAATATGTCAAACTACACCATTCGCAGTCTGAGCTAATAACATCTTCCGATATCTTTTTCTGTTTTCTTTATATCGAAAAACATAGATTACGAAACATGATTTTTTAGGTTTTTTTCTATAATATACATAACTTTTTTTATATGTTCTCATATATAAGATAACGTTCATATGCTCTCCATAATTAAAAAAGAGAAAGAAGGGCTATCTTCGGCACGCCGAAGATTTAATACCCATGCAGACCCAACCTTTCCATAATGCTCATTGTGCTTTGCCCGTATCTAAGAAGAACAGGGAAAATAGTTAATGCCGATTATTGTTTAGATATCTTGAAAAACAAAGAAGTTTTCCATACAACAACTTAATTTTCGACCGATCGTTCCTATGGCAGCTATATGATATATTGGTCTGATAGGATTTTGCATATATATGAGGAGCATAGTAAAACTAATACATGCCGAGTTTGGTCAAGACATTTAAATAAACATAAAGATTTCATACAAGAACTTGCTTTTCGACCAATCGTTCCTATGGCAGCTATATGATATAGTGGTCCGATCCAGCTGGTTTTGACATATGTGCTGCGTGCAACAGAAAGAGGGACTTCTCATAAAAATAGCTTTAAGACTTAGAGACTAGTTCGCATAGAAACAGACAGACGGACATGGTTATAACGACTCGGCTGTTGATACTGATCAAGAATATATATGCGTAACACATTTCACAACAAAAATTATAATACCCTCTGAAAGGGTATAAAAAGGACCATGGCATAAACACACTTTTCTATGCAATTCCAAGCCCCGAATATTTTTTAGGGAGCCGACTATAATCACCAAATTGAATAGAAACAGCTAGGCAAATGCATTTGCAATTAAATATCAAATATTGCTTCATTTACATAATACCAATAACACAATTTAGAGTTTGATGACCATAACACGTAAATGTGTGTGGGGTGCAGCTGGTTTGAACACAACTTGGCCACTGGCGTCCTTGTAATCGGCATAGGCTATCGAGTATACGCATTCCATGCCCAAGGCTTTTTTCAGGCGGGCCGAGTAGAAGCTTGTGCAGTGTGCTGCCATCAGGGGAAAGTCCTTACTGCGGCCAACTTCCATCAGAGCGGCAGCCAGACGTGAGCCCAGCCCTTTGCCACGCATTGAGGCATCCACATGGGTTATGTGGGAGAGGAGCGGTTCTGTAATTCCATAACGCGTAAAAAGATTAACTTCGATATTGATTTTGGATAGAAATACAAGCATATCCCCCCAAGTATTTGGCTCACTGGCAGCGGCCTTCTTGCGATACTTTTCCACATCGTCAGGAGTCTGAGCATGTGCCAGTACGTAGCCCACAATGCGTCCGCCGTTGTTCTCATCTACAGCCAACAAGCAGGTGCCCTGCTTAATTTTAGAAAGGTAAAACTCATCGTGGTATTCTTTGACCCATTCTTCTTCGTAAAGCTCACCGAGCGGCTCTCCTTTAAAGAAATTGCCCCTCATGAGGGTCTTCAGTGGCTGGTAGTCGGCCACCGTCATGATGCGGATGAGGATGCCATCCTTTGAGTCCAGTTCCGTTGGCATGTTGGGCTTTTGGTGATCACTATAGAAATGCAAAAGCTTTCGGCCACCAGCGTTATTTATGTGATGTATGATCCGTCTGTTTTCTTATCATTATATATAGTATGCCTGATAGTGTGTATATGCTTATAGATCAGATGGTGATGGTTTGATAGCTTGTTTTGATGTCAACAAAGCTCTTGAAAGCTCAACTCATTTTTGCCTGGTAGGAAACAAATATATTCACGAATTTAATGTCTGTGCGGTGTTCATTCTCTTTTTCTGCACTCTGTACTCTCCCTCTCTTACAATGCAAACAAAAACCAAAAATTAGAAACGCTTTAAGCAGCCACAATAACAGAGAAACAGATAGCCAAAAAACAGAGAACTGTTAGGTGGGTGTGAGGCTGTCTGTTGGTCAGCTGGAATGCCAGCCAAATCCCAAACTGGGCAAAAACCAACATAATTTACATGTCTGCTGGATAAGTTCGACAGTGAGAAACGGAGCTGAGAGTTAAAGAGGGGGCGGCCAGACTGGACCTGGACCAGTCTGCACAGTGTCTGTACAACCTAAACAGTCTGTTGGCCATGTTATGCCAGACTAGTTACAGTTGTTGTTGCTTTTTGTTTTTGTTGCTGTTGCTGTTGCAGCTGTTGTTGCATGCTGCGTCGTCGTCGTAGTCAGGTGCTTAAAGTCGAGGCTCTTCAATTTGCCGGTAGCAAGTTTATCACAAAGTTAATCAGAAATTTTGAGTTTTGCATGCAGCTGATTAAAATAAATTGATGAGCGGTTTTAAATTAATTTTGATTAGTTGTTGCGTAGCAATTTTTGCCATTGTTCAAAATATGATATGCTAAAGCCGCGGCCATGAATACCTTTAGACGCCTCCGCATGCCACGCCCAGTTGCGGCGCACTGTTGCATACTTTTGGGTGGCATGAACGAGGCAAAAATTTCTGTTCAAATATTTGCCGAAGTGCATTTTTGATTTATGCTCGTGCAACGTGACCCAAATTTTTGCAGGTTTCACAACTAATTAAAAGTGAAAAGTTGACAACATTCTCCAGTTAAAATTTCTATATATTATATTTTTAACTACCCTCCACCCTCCGCACACACTAGTTGTTTTTATAGTCCTATGATTTATGGCGCACATTTGCTGAAAAAGTTGCGACCGCAGCAGAAATTAATGAAAATTCAATCAAAGTTCGCACCACGCAACAGAAGCAGCGGCCAACGGGCGGGGGTCACGAGCGGGTGTACAATAAAACTTGCAACATATGCCCTGCTGCGGCACAGCGACCTCGAAAGCCCGCCACTTGTGTTATTGTCTTGCTGACCCTAATGAAGATTAATTTAAAACAAGTGTGGCCTGGTGCTATGCCCTGCCTTTAGCTGCTGCTTCTTGTTATTTATTAAAAAAGTAAAGAATAAGAGAAATGAAAATTGAAAAAATAGCTCTGCTCTTGATGACGCACTAACGAAGACAAGGGCGACAAACGATCCCCTAATGTGACCGACTGACTAGCCCACTGATGAAGATGACAACAATGCCTTCGTGTTTGCTGTGGGCACACACAGCTTCAAAGAAGCAATTTAATCAAATCATCCTCAATGACTTAGATTTCTGGCGAGATATTAAAATGACAATGGAACCGATAGAATGCCACAGATATGACCCCAGGCCAGGGCTGCAAAACCAGGCAAAATAGACGTGGGCTTGGATTCAACTATCTTCTAGGCCCATAGTAAAATAAAATAAATATATATTGGAATTTGCGGGAGAGAGAGACAACAAACATACATAAATAAAGAGTTTCCAGACATCAACTTTATAAGTTAAATAAAAATAAAAATATATAAAAATATGGAAATAATTTAAATTATTTTTAGAATTCAATGTAACAAGTTGGCTTTAAATTTGTTATGCCCCAAAAGTGCATGCGTATTAAAAGACCATTTCCAGCTAATGAGAACCTGCCCTCAACTTTGAACTTTACTCAGTGGAACTAAATATACAATTTAGATTTAGGGAATGCCACGAACAACTGCTACTTGTGCCACTTGATTTCGATGATATCGTGTAGGTAATTAATTTATTAAACCATTTTCGAATGCGACGCTGGACGCATGCACCGCGGGGGTCGAGTACGATGCTCGCTTTCGAAATCTTTGGCTGCCTCCATTGTTTATCAGCGCATTGTAGATCTCAGCCAGGGGGTCCCGCTAATTTGTGCTAGGTTAATTAGTAAAGAAAACTCGCATCGAACAAGCCTATTGAAATCGGACAGAGACCCAAGCTGTTGCCAGTGTTCGGAGTGGGGGGGTGGACCCTCTAGCTCTGCTACGCTGCCTACACAATGTGTAACGCATTATTATAATTCCAGCTGCCTACCGACTAACTAAATTCAATTCAATTCAATTCGTTTATCTGATTTCCTTTCAAGTGGTCAGTAGCTGTGCCGACTCGCTCTTTTAAATTTTTTACTTCTCTTGCTTTTTGTATGAATATTTATATATACAAAAAAAGAAAAGAAAAATGTTGTGAGTCTGTGTGGGGCATTATTTATGTTTATTTTTTGTTTTCCTTGTTTTTTTCAATCAACATTTTTCCAGTTTGTTTATTTACTTTGCATTTTTTTAAGATTATTTTAAAATGTATCAAAGTGGCAAATTAATGTGATATGAGAAATGCTTTGCAAAATGTTATAAATAACATCAATATGGGCATTTACTATCTTAATTAATTCAATTAATCTAAATACTAAATGAAAAATTATAAACTATTTCCCATAAAAGCAGCCGAGTTACCCTAGAGCTGAATGTGGAAAATAACTCTTGTTTGTTTTCTTTTGTCAAATATATTTAAAAAGCAACTTTTAAATATACCCTAAGTTTTTTTCGCTGGAACTGTTTTCTAGGGAACTTGGTTAGTCGTCATTCGAGTAAAAATCGTAACATTTCCATAAATAGAATTTAAAGTACTTCAAATAAATTTGACTTACCCCAATTGTCTTTCACAGGGTTAATATTTTTTACTATTACTTTCCTTATGTTGAAATATGTCCGTGTCATTATATTATATTATGCATATTATAGAAGTCACCAATTCCTAAAAAATTCCAAAAAGAATCCACAAAACGAAAAAATTATAAGCCTGAAGAAAGCTTGGATTGTTAATTATTATTTTGTTATATATAATACATAATATAATATTCATATTTATGTATAATACATATTAATCATTAACTAATAAAATAATCATTAAAATGTAATAATAGTAAAAATCGATACTTAAAATAATATAATATACAAATTTATGTAAAAAAGAGGAATCGATTTTGAACAAAACTGGGCATATTAAAAGTAAAATAATTTAATTATTTAAAAAAGTTTGTTTTTTTTTATATAAAACATTTTTTTTATTTCTTTTCTTTTTTTTTCTGGCCAACGTAGTTGTATATTCTCAATTTACAATACTTATGTTTATCAACTTAATTTTTATAATTACGGTGTTCGAACTTTATTCATTCATAAATCGAAAATCCAACACATGTAAAAACAACAATCTGCATGTTGTTCCTTTTAAAACCGTTTTTTATGTTCTTCAAGAAGAAACCCAGACAAGAGGCACAATAATAAAACTGCGCAGTATCCACAGTTTATGGAGAGCTGCATATAAATTTGTAAATCGATTTTGAAAACTAACAAAACAAACTTGCCAAAATAAAGAAGTGGACAGTCGAAGGCAAACCCAAAAGATATTAATAAACAAAAATGATTTATGTGTCTGCAGTGGACGTCATGGATGGCAGAGGCCGAGCCAGACCGGCAATGGGACTATGGGAACTATCTGCTGTGCTCTGTGGTCAGTAACAAAACTGTAGCAGTTGTTGCCCAGCCGCCAGATGCCAGTTGCGAGTTGCCAGTTGTTATCTCTGGCCGTTAATCTAATCAATTGAGGCGAGCTTCAAGAACAACAACTGAACAGCCAGCACCCTCATAAACAGTGCTGAGCGGCGCCTGCGCAACAGGTATAATGCCAAAGAACGACTGTCAGGTATTTCAGCACTTGCTCGAAACTGCGGGCATGGGTCTGGGGTCTGGGCACTGGGATCTCAGTCTGTGGATTGGCAAACGTTGAGGCAACGTTTCGGGCGTGTGCATGACAAATGTTCTTTGATTTATTGACAGTTTTAAGTGGACGCAGCCAATGTGCGCCTTAACATTGTCAACATGGCTAGTTGGTCACGTTCCTGGGTCGGTACTTCATAGACCCGAGACCCATGCACAGGCACAGGCACACCACCTGCTGTGCGAATGCTGCAAACGTTTAAAAATAGCACACAAAATGCGCCATGGCACATCAAAGTGTAAAATGCGCCAAACATTATTCGATTTTTTTCCAGTTGTTTTTTATCTATATACATATATATATTTTTTGTTTCTTCTGATTTTCTTTTCTTTTTTTTTTTTGCCTGTAATCGGAGCAGCCTACAAAGCGCGGGTACCACCCAAATACATTGCTTCCGCAGTTGAGCCCCGATTCCATATATACATATATACATTTTTTTTTTGTTCGTCCCGCCCCGATTTCTGTTGCAGGTGTCGCCTGCATGCACACTTGACATAATGTTGTTGCCAGTTGGCGGCACATTTCATTTTGAGTTTGGAATTTATTGTGCGCCCTCGGTGATTTCTATATAATTTTATTGCCATTGTGTGGGCGAGCATTCGGTTATAGTTTCTTCGGTTTTTGGTTGAAAACTGTTTTTTTCCCCTCTTGTTTATGGTAATGTCATTGCAAACTGAAAGAGTTGCCGTTCGCGTATAAGCTTTATACTTATTATAGAACAAGTAAGTTTGTCTATTTATATTAATATCTGTTAGTATTGAAATTAGCTATACATGTATTACTATGTATTACTATTAATTGGATGAATTAATCGATCGAGATATTAATTAGTAAAATAATATCTGTCACCTATGTAAAAAGAAAAAAGTAAGGATATATTTGGCACGCCGAAAATTAAATTCCCTTGTAGACATTTCCCTTATGCAGATATGTGAGCATTGTGCAGCTCAAAAATGCTGAGTTTGTTGAAATATCTTTGAAAACAGAATATTTTGTCTTATAAGAACCTACTGATACACCGATCTTTCCTATATCAGCTATATGATATAGTGGTCCAATGCTGATAAGATTTAGTTTGGTCAAGTTATCTTAAATTCAAACAAGGTAAAAATGATTTTCTTATCGGAGACAACGTTTTGACTAATCGTTGTTAAGGCAGCTATATGATAAACAAAAAATTGTTTCATACAAAAACCTACTTTTAGACCGATTGTTCCTATGACAGCTATATGATATGACGGAGCTATGCAAAGTTCCAAGACGATTGATTTAAAACTGAGAGACTTGTTCGTATAGAAACAGACAGACGGACGTGGCTAGATCAAATCGTCTGTTGATGCTAACATAGAATATATATACTTTATGGGTTCGCAGATCTCTACTTCTATGCGTTAAACATTTCATGATAAAATTATAATACCCTTTATAATAATAAAACTAGGGTATAAAAACAAGTTATTTTAAAATATGCAATTTAAATTATAATAATACATTCTACTAAAATACAATCTGTAGAAGGTCAATTTCCATATAAAAAACTAGATTTAAAATCTAAACACCCACAAAATAATATAATTAAAACCTCTTCCACTCTTTACTACTTCCACCTATATAAGTTTATCATGTCTTCTATCAATCTATAAGCTCCAATATATTGTAAAAGAACTATAGAATGGCTTAAATCAGTTCCCATTGGTCTTTTTAATGGCAAAGTAAACCCCATAAAGTAAAAAAACACCATTCATATCTCAAACTGTAGCATTCAGCACTCAATCAACAATCTATCTGGCGCATCAATCAGGCAAATAGTGGAACGAAGCGAAATCACGGGCAAAAACGATAGAACAACAATAAAGCGAAAGCACTAAACAGAATCAACATAACCTCAATTTGCTTATAGTGGCATTAACTTGGCAAGCTAAATACAATATAATATGGCGACGTGCGGGCTTGGTCAGAAAGAGAGAGAGAGCGAGAGAATGCAAGGGGAAGAAGGGGAGCGAGACAGTAAGAAACTAATCAAGCTGAACTACAACAAGGACGTGGCACAACAACAAAACTTTGGACATAATAAATAGGAAAATAGAAAATTATGATGGAAAATTATGACTTAAGTTGGCGACGTCGTCGACGACGCTAACGTGAACGAAAGTCATTTGTAAAACAGACGACAACAACAACATTGCGGAAGCAACTGCTGGGTGCGGAGGGGGGGAGGGCGGCTTGCCCAAGTGTTTGCTATGGTCAGTTGTGGTCATTATGGCTGCAAAGTTTTTGGCGGGTCTCATATTAATAATAAATATTTATTCAACATTTTCCGAGTTCCCTCTGACAAGCACGCAGCCATTGAAAATGTGCGAAATTTAACTGGCACGCAACTTGTTCATATATCATCTGTTAGACAGTCGGGATGATCATCAAGATTGCGTAGACAATTAGAAAGATAGTACCGTAACGATCGGCTCCGTTTTAGTTTAACAGTTTGATTACTGAATGTATTCTTTGCCAAAAAGTGATAATATATTACATTTTCTTTACTTTAGTCGAAACATTTAGTACATAAAACAAGTTTACATAAAACAAATATGTTAATGTCTTATAAAAATGTTATTAAAAATGTCTATGTTAACTCTGAGGTAAGCGCCTAGAACTATTGAAGTTAAAATACAATAAATAATAATATTAAAAAATAAAACAAATACTTTTTACACTTGCAAGAGATTAAGTTTTCTTTAATCTTTTTATATATTTACTCATAATTTATATAGGAAAAATTATTTTCGCATTGTTAAATTCGATTCATTTTAAAAAAATTTGTATCGTCCTACTCCATGTTGTGAAAATGAGAAACTTTAAATGTGTAAATATATAAATACATGTTTTAATCATTGAAAGTTTTTTTATTAGTACAAAACTTTCAAAGTAATTATTAACACAAATGCAAAATGTGTAAGCATAATATAAACAGACAATTTATATTTTTAACTATTGTAAATATATGAATATATTTAACAGAAGCTAGGCATATGTAAGGCTTCACAAACTTTCAAAGCGATAATACGGAATGCTTATCATACTTTCTTTTTTTGTTTTTTTAACCAGTTAGATCTCATTCCCCCTTTGCTTTGTTAACTTTAAGCCTTCCCTGATCAGGGCAAAAAATAAAAATAAAACGAAACAAAAAATAGACAAAGTACAAGTCCCTATGTTATGCATATCCTGAACGAGAAGCTGGGCAGCTGCCCCTCGAACCAAAATCCGTACCCGTTGCCACCTCGCAATGGCAGAAATGGGATTTTCAAACATATCGCATATACAAAATGCAAACATGTCTGGCAAACACAAATCCCATAAATGTTTTGTGTGGTGCTGAGGTGCTCGGCTGGGTGGGTCTTTGGGGTAGTGATAAAAACTTGCAAAAAATATTTTCATATGTGAAAATGTGTAAAATGTAAAAGTTTCCAAAGTTTGGAGAGCGCGCGCGCAGTTTGCCTTTTTTGTTATTTCCTATTTCCACATTGTGTTTATATTTTGTGTGTGATTTTTTTTTCGCCGTTTTCTGTTTGCACTGTCTGAATGTCCCTACGTCCGTCTGTCTGTCTATCTTTCTATCTGTCGCTGTGTGAGCATCAGGTGCTGTGGCAAAAGAAATTACAACAAATCCATTTGTGAAATTGCAAACCGAGACAAACCACGACCACGACGACGACGACGACGGCCATGACGGCGGCGATGAGGACTGAGATGATGATGACGCCTCCACCAGCACCGGCAACGCTTATCCGGTTGCCTTTGATGCTCCACTATTTTCGTTGTTGTTTTTCTTTTTTTTGGTGTATATGTGCTAGCTGGTCTTTTGCCTGGCACTGACAGCACTTCGAGCAGCACTTTAAGAGCCGTAGACGACGTCGGTGCTAACCAATTACATGGCTGGCCAGTGCGCCAGGGCTCCTCCTGTCATTATGCACTCAAAAATCAAGATGGAAGGCACTCGCTGCCTGTCATTTGCCTGGGCAAACATTCATCTTACTAAAGTTGGCCAGTCGACTGGCCCAACCGAATGCCCCCAAAAAAGCCCAACCAAACCCAACCCAACAGTGCCACCGCCTCCTGC